CCCCCTTTGTGAGTCAATACATAGTGCTGCTGTGTGTGTATACTTTTTTGTGTGTATTTGCTAATTTTTATTAATTCTAGTTTTTCATTAAATAAATTTGACTTTCTTTTCTGTAATTCAGGCTTTTCCTCACTTTTTTTTGTACCTTTTAAAAGTTAGTGTCTTTTTGATATGCATAATTGTTTATGGTAAAGTTTATACATATGTGTTCCATACATATTTTCTCTTTCTCCCCATTAATCAGTTCATTAGTATTTTAAATTCAGAAATTTTGTTCCCGATTTCCAGAGTTCCAGAAAGGAAAGGTAACATTGGAAGAATTATCAGAAGCTATTTAAAGCAGCCATCAGATGGTTGGTCTGTCTCTCTCGCTCTCTCTTTTCTCCAGTTGAGTCATACCTTCAAACTTATTTGAAAGTTGGGGTATACTGATTTTTTTAAAATACTGAAAAAAATCAGGCTCTTTTCCCCCCCAAATATCTTGGACAGATCACATATTTAAAATTTGTTCTTGTATTTATTGGTTTTGCAAAAGAAGGCATCATCTTACACAGTATTTGTAATTAAAAGCAAATCATTTGTTTAAAAAAAGGCAGTTTGCAAAAAAAAATGTTCTTGGTCTTTTATAATTCTCATTAAAAGAATATCTGGCAAATTAAAAACTCTTTGGTGTTTGCTTTAGCCCTAAGTTTCAATTTTTTCCTGTTCAATTCTGTAGTTTATAGCAGAAAGCAATGTGTGCTGTATTTTGAAACGTAGTAGAATTTTATTGTAAAGTACAGCATAATGGGTACCGGTCTCTGTCTGGACTAAAGTCTTTCTTCCCTCTCTCTTGCTTACATTTTGATTCTCACAACTATTAGGAGACTGGTTATTAAAATGCTGATCACTTTTTATCTCCGTTAAAAAGCAAAGGTGAGTTAATATGCACAGCCTAGTGATTATGATCTGGACTCTGCAGCCAGACCTCAGGGACCTCCTGCAAGCCCAGCTCTAACACATACCAGCTGTGCGACCTTGGGCCATTTCCTGGTGCCTACAATGGGGTTAATGACGGTAGCTACCTCCAGGGTTAAGTGGGGTACAAGTAAGTTACCCTGTACAGTGCTTTGCACATAATGAGCATCCAACAAATGTTAGCTGCCATTATGCTGTTAACTAGCACCATCCAGTTAACTTGCTAGCTACCCTGAGGCAGCCCGCAGGACTCTGAAACTGCCTTCTGCCTGGCCAAAGATCATTTTATTTTTGTGGTTTTTATGGGCACCATAACTATAGAAAGTCAGCTAAAATTACTTTGGGGACCCCCCCCCCAATTCTGGATCAGTTTACTGCTGTTACCATGTTCACTTAAGACTGCATAATGTCTCCCCTATGTAAGCGTTATTTTTTGAATTGGTTATATGTGCTTATGTAACCATTTTTGTGGAGAAGGAACACAGGTCACCCCCAAATGGATACCCAGATCTATTCCTATTAAAGCATGTGTGTTTAGAAAAGCAGTTTTTTCCCCATTTAATACAGTTGATCCTTGAACAACATGGGTTTGAACTGCACAAATCCACTTACATGTGGAGCTTTTTCAATAAATAACGTACAGCACTGTAAATATATTTTCCTTATGATTTTCTTACCATTTTCTTATTGCTTCATTGTGAGAACACAGTATATATAATACACATAAGGAAATATGTGTTAAGGCTTCTGGCCAACAGTGGGCTGTTAGCAGAGTTCTGGGTGAGTCAAAAAGCTCTGCTTTGTTGAAGGGTCAACTGTACGGAATAGTTGTGCGGTGTAGCATTTTGTGTTAAAAATATTCAAAAATTATTTTTAATTTTAAACATTTTAAAATATTTAAAAAATGTATTTTTACAAATGCGCTCAATATATAGACTTTGGAAGTTAGAGAATGACACATAATAGAGACCTGTAACTTATCCATTCAGACTATGAATACTTTTATTTTTCTAGTCCTTTATGTGTATTTACATGTTTTCACATTTATTTTGAAATTATGTAATCTTGGATCATACAATTATGTAATCCCCTCACCTCCCCACACCGTCATTTAAGCATTTCAGCACTTTTAATAACCTTGGAAAAAAACCATTTTGGGTAAATTTGAGGATTGACTATAATTTTAACATTTCTTGATGTGGGATATTTGCTCTGTCCATTTTGTCCAGGTAAATTTTTTTTGGCTACTTATAAACTACGAATATTTCTATATGTTTTTTTATTATGTTCTTGGGATCCTTTTAAATTTTTTTAAGGTCTGATACTTTTATCATTGCTTTCTGGAGAGGTTTCAGTAGACACAATAACTGGGAAGGATTTTCCATTTCACCGCAACCTCATTATTTTATGAATTTTTCACAAATTAAGACAGTAAATTTTGTGTTTGACAGCTCATCAGGTTGTTAACTCCATTTCTTCTAAGTTGCCTTCATATTCTTGGCCTATGATGATGATGATATCTATAGCCATATTTCTTGGTCCATCTGAGATTTGGGGTCTCTTGTTCTTAAATCATCTTTGTCCACCCCTTCTTTTGGTGCCTGTTTTCTTTCAGGGCATAGTCTATGGAAGGGGTAGGCGATCCTCTTGAACTCTCTTCTTTTGCTCTTAAACATGTCTGAAATATGAATTTGTCCTGTTGAATCATGGGCTGGTTTAATATGTTATTAGCTGTTGGGGAACAATTTTTTCTTCTGCTTTGAGTAATATTAATTATAACATGTATGACTTTTTTTAAGGCCCACATTTCTGCAAACTTGAAACTTCCATGAGTGGCTACTTTTGGCTCACCAAAACTCTTAGTCCTGTCCCATCCCCACTGCCTTTCCCCCCAGGAACTTACAGCTTTTTATATTCGGGAACACCTGCAGTGATTCTAGTGGAATGGATGAATTGGTAAGTCACCCAAATTCAAAACCAAAACGCTATACCCGGGGGCCAGTCTGTGGCTGTTGCATCACAGTTAGAGTGAGGTCAGGACATAATAGGGTGAATTGAGTGTATGACCTACAGACTAGTACTGTGGTCACTTAGCAGATGATATGAGAAAGGTACAGATGGTGACATGGAAACCTATACATAGACCGAATGCAGTGCTAGAAGCTTTGTCACTGTCCTCACCTGCCCAGTGTGCATGTTCAGAGAAAAGAAAATGGGTAACCGTGGTAACAGGGTTTGGGAGGAGGGAGGAGTGGGGTTACTGTCCGTTAGTTTTGGGTTAAAATGATTGAAAAATGTGGACCATAGAAAGTGGTGATGGTTTTACAACCTTGTGACTATAATCAATTTCCCTGAATTTACACACTTAAAACATGGTTAAAATTGTAAATTTTGTTCTTTTTTCACAATGAAAAAGGACACGTGAATAAAAGAGCTTAGACTTTAAAAATGAAAACTGGTGCTGGAGAAATGACGGTCATACTTGGTGTCGTGCACAGCCAGACCTGTCAGCTCCAGAAAGGAAGGGCGTGTGGCAAGCCCGGGGCACAGAAGACGTGCCCACCGTGGGCAAACACCAAGCGGCTTGTTCCAGCCTCTGGGGAAGGGTACAGGTCACTGCCACTGTGCAAAGTGTGCTGTTACCACTGCTGGATGGGAAGAGGGATTTGGGTGTGGACTGGCTCCCTCTGGTTGCTGAAAAATGAAGTGTCTTTTCCTCTCCTGCAGGATGACTGAACAGGAATGACCAAATTACAACAGTGAGAGCTACCCAGTGTTTGCAGATGTGCCGATGTCCTGCTGGCGGGCCCCCGTGTTGCCCAGAAGTCAGACTTGACGAGCAGGGCTGAGTGCAGCATTTGGGTAACTTACCCCTTTCTCATCCAGGAAATTCCAAAGTGCCTTACATATGTTTTTATTTTGAAATCGAAGATTGTGAAGTTTCTTATTGGCTAGACTGGTCATTAGAAATTGCTCAGTGTGGCTTCACATGACATTGTAACCTTTTTTTTTTTTTTTTAAGCTGAGCCATCCTGCTGCCTGTTGGCAGCTCAGTGGCAACTCTGCTCCGGCCGGGCATCGAACCGCTGTTGCTCAGAGCTCGCACTCTTGAGCGAGCTCTTAACCAGCTGAGCCACTCAGCTGGCCCTATGACATTCTAACTTAATCTTCAGCATAACTGACGGAGGAACTGTGGTTTGCATCGTACAGGGGAGGAGAACTATGATTCAAAGTC